TCTACTCAACAGCTGGTTGGAGGACACACACACATTTATGCACACACACACTGTGCACACACAGATAAACATGAACATTTCGAGTAAACCAAATAATACATCTTAATGACTTAATAACTAAAAATAAAGTAATTAGAGACACTTGTGTTCATCCTCACCTGGAATAAACACATCTTTATAAACACAGGGCAGGCTGGTATGCTACATATCCTCCTACAAAAGGAATCATTTGAGTTGCTCACCTTATGGATTTGTCAGATTACGGCATGGCTCCTGAGCAAACCTTTTTTTTCTTTAAACCCTCCTCTAAGCAGCCTTGCTCTGAATTCTTTCTGCTAATTTATCCTCACTCAGACAGAGGTGAGAGGAACAGAAATGGAGAGAGAGACAGAGACGTTTCAGTGATGCTCAGTCATGCCTCAGCTGAGACGTCCTCCATTAGACACTCCACATTAGATTAGAGCTGTTTAGTATGCAGAAAGAAATGATACGTTTTAGTTTTGCACTTCCCTCACTGACACGAAAGTCTGCACCTTTTTCCTGCAGATTTTGAAGTCTTGATGTCTTGAACAAGGCTTGAATGTGAGATATCTCTCTGAGGCTGTGGCTCAGTGGATAGTATGATGGGCTAGAAAGTTCGAGTCCCACTGCAGTCAGCATGTCGTTGTGTCCCTGGGCATGACACTTCACCCCAAATTGCTCCTGTGGGGATTGTCCACAGTACTGGATGTATGTAAGTCGCTTTGGGTAAAAGCGTCTAACGAATAACATGTAATGTAATATCTCATGGCCAAACAGCCACACTTAAACCTGAGCTCTTGTTTTGCGTTTACATTTTATAACTGAACAGTCCTTTTTTAGGGTTTACCCCAGGAATTGTTTAGATATTGGTCAGATAACTTGGCTTGCCTCTACAGATGATGCTGTGGGAAACCCTTGTATTTTTATAATGCCAAAATAGTCAATATTTTATGAGTAGAGAGCCGTCGGGTGTTCTCCAAACGTAGAATTAGGATGCCCTATAGAAGGGACCTCAGTCTTTTTAATGTAAATGTAGACATCTTTGAATAGAGGTCCGTTGATGTGACACCTTGTTGCACCCTGTCTTTGAACTGTGGCTTTGAAGCTCTTCTGTGTGACGCCATCATCTCCTCCTATGTATTTCCTGATGTAGCCGAGTGGCAATAATGATCGCCATAAAATCCATTACCAGGGGCCCCGGGGCCACTGTGCTGTGGGTCTAGCTTTATTACACCGACCCGCATGTTGGTAATTACACAATGTGTTTGTTGCTACAGCAACATGGAGGTTCTAAGCGCCTAATGCAGAATTTATGTTAGGGGGGGTTTGGCATTTTGTTGTCATACACACCATTGCAGGCAGACATTCAGTTTGTGCGTCAGTCTTCGTAGCTGCACATGTGTGTGTTTGTGTGACACCCTCTCAGTGGGGGCTCATTTAAAAGACGAAGGGACAAAATGGAGGAGGTTGACCCATTAGTTGTACCATTCACTATTTCACCTCACTGCCTCCACTTAGCTGAGCACTGAGGTCTGGTATTTAGGACCACCTGAAAACTGTCCTAAACACACGCTACGTCAAACACTTAGCAGCCAGCAGCTTTTAGACACAACTAGCCAAAACTAGACCAATCCAAACCATGCCTTCTTGGCCAGAGGGAAATTATCTCATCAAAATCACAGTGGCCTTATGTCATAATAATAATGAAGTGGTAGAATTTAATAACAATATCCTACACACCAGCCTAGAACAAATCTGTCAGGGTGTCACAGTTTCAGTTAAAGTTTCCTAACTTGATCCTGGATTAAATTCATGAATTAAAAGTGGAAAAGCCACAAAGAGAGCTGAGGAATGGGCTTTAGTTTTTAATGCGGCAGCCTACCCTGCAGTGTTGGGCTTAAATGAGTGACTGTTCATTATAGTGGCTGCTGATGCTGAGCCATGTCGGCAATGCTGTATTGACTCAGAAGATTAGATCGGCTGGCACGAAAGGTAATCTGGCATCTATAGATTTGTCTGTGTGTGTTTTCTCAACTCCTCCATTGAGCACTGGACTGACAAGGACTTATAGGCACTGCCCGAATCTACTGTTGAGAAAGAGAAAGAGGAGGCATTACGTTACCCAGCGTTTCCGCCAGGGGGGGGCGTCTTTTTCGTCAGAGAAAGGACATGGACATCCCTCTGTTGGAGGGGCAAAGGAGTCTGGTGGGAATCTTTTCGCTGCCAGCAAAGCGTGTTCCTGTGACGGAAAGTGTACTGCCGGCGAGCCTTGAAGGGGGGTGCTATTGCAGCATGTGCGTGAACTGCGAGCGCCGGAGCCTCGCAGCGTCGAAACTGAGGCTCCGTGGTAAACTGAAGAGCCGTTTAGGAGCCAAAAGAGCCGGTTCTTCTTAGTGAGCCGAGCCAAATGATCCAGCTCACTAAAAAAAGCCGGAATATCCATCACTAATACGTAAAGAGACAGTATCTATAAATGGACGGCACACATTAAAATTCAAGTCACGTGACGTCACGATGAGTATATACCCAGAACAGATGCAGGTACATTTGCTTCAATTAAGCCAAACTATTGTAAGTGCTGGCGAAAATTCAACGGATCCTGGTCATATTTGTGTAGCATATAAAATGAATTAGACACTCATGTGGCTTGCTAGTTTTGGACCCCATCTGTAACCCCAATACACAATAGGGGACTGAAGCAGATTTGAGCAGCCAGTAAGGGAGGCAGAGAAGAGTTTAAATGTGGATTAGGGCTGCTCGATTATGGCAAAAATCATAATCTCGATTATTTGGGTCAATAATTGAGATCACGATTATTAAAAACGATTATCCATTTACTTTGAAAACATCAATTTATTTGTGTAGTATGTTTTTAACAGTTGATCACCCTGAACTTGAAGTATAATTCAATTGAAAAACCAATACAAGAAATTATACTATTTTTCCTTTTTTAAATAATCGTTTTATTTCGATTATGTTGTTTTCATAATCGTTGCAAGCCAAAATCGTAGTAGCGATTAAAATACGATTAATTGAGCAGCCCTAGTGTGGATGAGATGATAGTGGGTTAACCAAGTCCCAGGATAAAGACTGTGGATGTCATCTCTCATCACGCATGTCACGACATCCCCCCCAATGTGTCACAGACTGGGCTTTGGCCGAAAGTAAAATCAGATGTGATCAAACACACAGCAAATGCATTGGACTAATGAGCAAGATAAGATAAGAAAGTACTTTATTGATCCTAACTTGGGAAATGTTTGTGTTGCAGCAGCATCAAAATACATGGCATTGTACAATAAAAATGTAAAGACAAGAAATAAACAAGTAAGTAGAAAATATACATGTTGAATTGACCAATGAACAAGAACAATATATAAAGCAAGGTATTATATATACATAAGTATGTGACGGATGGAATATTAAACTGAATATATAAATGTACAATGTACAGTGTGAGCAAGTGTTGCCTTCATCATTCTGAACAATTGGCTTTTGCCTTCTGTATCAGCTTCATAAGAGCAAGCATTGTGTCCTGTGAGTCCTAACCTGAGGAGCAGCGTATGAACAGCCCTTTGTATTCTGATATGTGGAGTGAACCCTATTTATTATTGACTTCTTTGGCAACATTTTCCAATGGTTTTCATTCTTGCTAGCAGGAATTGCTCGATTGACAACCATGACTCCACCGTAGGCCATATGACCTCTAAAGTGCAGCAGACTTCAATCTGAAGGGTAATCTTATTCCCCCCCTGAGGCAGATCATATCTAGAGATGGCATCACCTTCCATTGGAAAGATGACAACGACTGAATATCCCAAAATGTTATAGGTAGAAAACAACATTCATATAATTAATTCAGACAAATTGAAATACTCCAGTTTCTTGTTGTGCTTTTATTTCATAAACAGAAAGATGTTGTTTAACAAAAGACACATTCAGTCTCTTACGCAGCCTTATTTCTGTCGAGAAGTTCAGATGGAAAACTTAATGTGAAGCTTTAAATTGCTTCAGCTTCTTTAACGCAGCCACATTATGCAAAGGACCAATTCAGTTCTGGCCTTCAACATTGAAAAGCATGAAATTAGTACCACCGTGTATATCTTAAATGGTAGTGTCCCTTCATTTCTTTTCCTGCCATTCCTTCTCTCCTCTGTTATTTTCCCCCAGTCCATTCCCCCATCTTAGCCTTCCTTCTCTCCTCTGTTATCTGCTATCTCAGTCAGAATCTGAGGGACCGCAGGGATCCTCTCTCGCCATGGTTCATTGTCACACTTCTCTACTTCATCGAATTGAAGACTTATAAACTCTTCCCTAACTGTGCTCGAGAAACTTGAAGCTTAACCTCACATTCTAGACCTTGAATATATACTCTGTTATATACTGGGAGTTTATTTAAAGGTCACCTATTATGCAAAACCCACCTTTTCATGTCTCTCCTACATCAACATGTGTCCCCTCTGTGTAAAGAGATTCTGAAAGTTTCAGGAAAAAGATTCTCTCACTTTTTGTCCTGATCTGTCTGAAAATGAGCTGATCAGATTTTGGCCACTTTATGATGTCATAACGATGTTTAGGCTTGTGTAACCATTAGCCAATCACCAACCANTTATTATGTGTTGTATTGTACAGCTTAACAACAGACTTAAAGGTCACCTATTATGCAAAATCCACTTTTTCATGTCTTTTATTCATCAACATGTGTCCCCTCTGCGTAAAGAGATTCTGAAAGTTTCAGGAAAAAAGATTCTCTCACTTTTTGTCCTGATCTATTTATATAAAAACCTGTCTGAAAACGAGCTGATCAGATTTTGGCCACTTAATAATAATAATAATACATTTAATTTCAAAGCGCTTTTTCAGGTGCTCAAAGACGCTTTACAGCCGATTTGTTTGGCTTGTGTAACCATTAGCCAATCACCAACCAAG